CCTCCGCCGCCTCAGCACACTGGATCTGCTTATAAAGTCCTTTTATTAAATTAATATAAAAATCTCTGTATTTACACAGAAGGGGAGGGGGGGGGGGGCACAGTGAAGAGGCAGCAGGACCCCCCCTTCCCAGCCATGAGGCACTGGGGAGGGGGCTGTGCCCACCTGTGTGCTTGAAGGCACCCCGTGTGCCACCCCGAGGTGATGGGGACGGGGCTGTGCCCACCCGTGTCTCCCTGGGCACCCCGGCCTGGCACCCCATGTGCCGCCACCACCCCAAGCAGGGACACCGGGGTGCCCGTCCTGCGGGTGCAGGAGGGGGGTGGCCGTGCCAGGGCTGGGGAGGGGAGGAAGAGGTAGCGAAGTGGGGAGCCCCGAGAGCTGGCAGGGTGGTGTGGGGGGGGCACAGGCAGGCTGGGGGGGCACCTGGCCACCCCCTGGCATGGCGGGGGGGCATCAGCACTGGATTGAGGGTGCCTGCCCCCTGTCAAGCTCAGCACGGGGTGGGCATCCCCCTCCCTCCTGCGGCAAGCAGGGACAGGTAGGGGGGACGCACAGCCCCCCGTCTCACTGTCCCTTGGGGGTGGCGTCGTCGCCGTCGCCCCCGGGCCCGGCCTCGCGGGGCATGTGGTGTCGGTGGTGTCGGTCCCAGAGCTGGCGCAGGGCCGTGGTGTCGGGCTCGTCCGCACTGGCCAGGCTGTGCCGGAAGCTGGCCAGCGGCGGCCGCACCTTCACCCCCTTGGCCGTCAGCGAGCCCTCGATGGCCTTGCGCAGCTGCGGGCAACCCAAAACCGTGGGCAGGGGGCTCCAGGTGCCCCCCTGAGCCCCTCCAATCCCGCTGTCCCCCCGCAGCTCACCTCCTTGAGGGACACCATGCCCACCAGCCGCCCGATGCTGGTGACGAATGCGTGGTCCAAGCCCAGCAGCGAGAAGATGGTGTGGGTCTGGGGGAAGAAGGGGGATGAGGTGGGGGTCCGGGGGTTTTTGGGGGTCAGGCAGGGGTGTGGGCAGGGGGCTCACCTTGTGCAGGGAGGTGTGCTCCACCAGCTGGAAGGGTGCGGGGTCGATCTTGGCGCTGCTGAAGTCCACTGGCTCGTCCAGCTGCTCCTCCTCCCACTCGAGGATCTGGGGAGGGGGACACACACGCCGTGGGGCAGGGTGAGGGGGCACGCACCCCCCCCACCACCACCTTTTCCAAGGCCGCCTGCACCCAGTGTTGCGACACAGGGGTTGGCTGTTGTCGTCCGATCCCCCCACCCCCTTCCCACCCCCAGCACCCTGTTGGGGTCTGCTGGGTGGGCAGAGGGTCCCTGCCGCCCCCTCACCTCTGTGGCGGTCATCCTGTCACCCAGGTCCAGGTCCTCCTGCAAGAGAGGGCACCCTGAGCTGCCCGGCAGGAGCGGGCAGGGAACAGGCAGTATGTCTGCAGGCAGGGAGTGGGCAGGGTGCAGGCAGTGACTGGGTAGGGTGCAGGCAGCACATGCGGGCAGGAAGCAGGCAGGGAGCAGGCAGGGCACAGGGCAGCTGCAGGCAGGGGCAGGCAGGAGCAGGCAGGACGTGGGCAGGGAGCAGGCAGGGAGCAGGCAGGGCACAGGGCGGCTGCAGGCAGGGAGCAGGCAGGGGCAGGCAGCACATGCAGGCAGGGCAGAGGCAGCACATGCAGGCAGGGGCAGGCAGGACGTGGGCAGGGAATGGGCAGGGAGTGGGCAGGGTGCAGGCAGGGCACAGGTTGCCTGCAGGCAGGGGCAGGCAGGGCAGAGGCAGGGGCAGGCAGGGGCAGGCAGGGAGCAGGTCAGGTAACATGATTGGCTGTGAGGACATAAGTCACACCAGGATTGGGCAAGGTGGGAGAAGCTGTCTCGTGATTGGCGGAGAGAAGGCAGGCTGTGCCATGATTGGCTGAGCAAAATCCTAGGGCCGTGACTGGGTGAGAGGCTCCAGGTCAGGCTACGATTGGCTGGGAGGGTTGGGAGGACACAGGCCATGATTGGCTGAGCAGAATCGGGACACTGTGAGATTGGCTGCACAGATAGGCCAAACCTGATTGGCCAAGCAGAATCGTGCCATCTCCTTGATTGTTTTAGTGAATCTGTGGTGGGCTTCTGATTGGCTGAAAGGAGCCATGCCCAGCCTGTGATTGGCCACAGCTTACCGAGATGGAAATGCGGACGTGCTTGGCCTTACGATAGGCCGTGCCCTGGGCCTGGGACCCACGGAAGAGACGGCGTTAGGGACAGGGATGGGATGGGATAGATCATGATGGGATGGGATGGGAAGGGATAGGTCATGGGATGGGATGGGACAGGATGGGAAGGGATGGGATGGGGATGGGATGGGTTATGATGGAATGGGATGGGGATGGGATGGGGATGGGATGGGATGAGATGGGGTAGGTCATGATGGGATGGGGATGGGATGGGATAGGTCATGGGATGGGGATGGGAAGGGAAG